GATATTTTTTACTTGATCTTCTCCCTCTTACAAGACAACATACTGCTATAAATATTCAACAAGCTATTATACAGGTATTAGATCAAGCTAAAATTACTAATAAGTTGTTAGGTATTACAACTGATAATGCACAATCTATGATAGCTGCAGGACGAGAACTTAAACAAAGTTTAAATAATAATGAATTAGTTCACTAACGATGTGCCGCACATATACTTAATATTGCTGTACAACATGGGTTGCAATTAGTATCACCAGTTATAAAAACGGTTAGAGATTTTATAATAAAAATTCGAAATTCGACAAGACTTAGTGATTCTTTAAAAACAATTTACAAACTTGAAAATATACCTGAATTAAAACCAGATTTAGATGTAGAAACAAGGTGGAATAGCACCTATCTAATGTTAAAAAAAATTTCTCAAATGCTAGATATATTAGATATTTTTATTATTAAAAACTGAGACCTTTCTTCTTTATATTTATAGGACGATGACTGGCTAGTAGTTAATAATATGATTCAATTACTTGAACCAATTTTTATAGCAACTGAAATATTATTAACCTCAACGTATCCCATGATAAGTGACGTAAGACTAACTATAATTGGATTGTTATGGCATTTAGATTCATTTATTCAAACTTACGATGCTAATTTAGATGAGTACATGATAGCAGATTCAATTAATTATAAACTTAAAGAATATTGGGAACATATTAATGATTCAACAACAATTGGTGCTTTGCTAGATCCACGTTCAAAAACTAAAACTTTTAAGGATATTGATCAATGTGATAAAGCTGTTATACTTTTGCATAACCAAGTAGAATTAAATAAAAATAATGCCGATACACAGTCAACTCAATCTACTCATAATTTACTAACAAGAGAAAACAAATGATCATTTTTTGAATCATTAATTTCAGAGGAAAATTCTCAACAAGTACCTGTTGAGGATGAGATTGCCCGATATTTTGCTTTACCGATTGATTCTACTAAAAATCCGTTAGATTGGTGATATCATTTTGGTGGTGATTTTCCAATCCTTGCAAGTATAGCATCATGTTATTTGAGTATACAAGGTTCAAGCGTACCTTCAGAACAGGCATTTTCTGTAGCTGCAAATACAATAACCAAAATTCAATGTAATTTAAAACCAGATACTGCACATGCAGCCATGTGCCTTAAAAGCTGGATTCAGCAAGTACATGATAAAAAAGAAGAAATTGATATAGAAAAGCTTTTTCTTTTAGAATTGTAACTTTTAAACCATCTACCATAAATATCAAGCATCTGGGTTTGAATTTTTTTTTTTTTTTTTTTTTGCAGTATGGATCCTTTGTTTTATGAATTTTTTTTGATTTTCTGTTTTAAAAAAAATTTAAATAAGGCCACAAATTTAATATGTCGATATTCATAACATAAAACTTTTAAAAAAACCAGCTGGCTGGCTTTTATTTTTCAAATTTTATATAAAAAAATTTTATATTTTTTTAAAAATTTTTCTTAACAACCCACCCGACTGTTAAAACATAAAAAAATTTTTTACAAATTTTCAAATTTTGACCTGGCTGGGTAATAAAAATCAATTAATTTTGCATGGCCTAATGTATCAATATATTTTATTTTTGCTGTTATTAGGTTTGAACTATGGTACAATTTAAATCACAATCGTGCAATTTGATTAAATTCAAATAATTTTTTTTAAACTTTTAGGTTGTTTTTTATATTATATTTTTTAAATATTATATACTATATATATCAATAAATATATATTATACTAGAAAAATAGTAAATAATTTATAAATATACAAATAAGCATGAATAAATAAATGTTTTTGAATTGCTGATTTTAAATATGTAGATTAATAACAACTTATGCTATTAAATTTGATACAAATAAATTAATTTGAGAAATATTATTTACAGGTAAGCATTTGTAAATTGAAGTGTTATGTAGTTTTAAAGATATGTTATATCCAGAAATAATGAAAATAGCTATAAAGTTCGGTCTATAGATGCTGGTGAAACTGACAAAACCCTTACATAGTGAATAGTTGCGAAATTGGTGAAACTGGTATATCGATTTTAAATAGACATCAGTTTCACTAGCATTATTTAATTTTACTAGCATTAATAGCTCAGTCTAAAGTAAGACTTGGAACTTTGACTTGTTTATCGAGTACATGTATTCATACATATTTTGCTATACTAGATGCATGTGCAGATATGAGTCAAAGTCCCAAGTCTAAATTGAGAATAGTAATTATTTGAAGTTTCAAGTTACTGTTTTTTTTTATAAAGTATTATACAGTTATATATTAATGCTATTTGAATCTTTAAGTAGAATATAAGAAGTTTAACACAATATGACGTTTCAGCTTTTAAAGAATGTATTGTCATTAACTAAAAAAATTTTTGAATACCTAATTTTAATAAAGACAGCTTTTGGAATTGAGTCGGGCTGAACTAGACTTTTCACTTCTCTAATCTCTGTATAGCAGAGAAAGCACTAATTTAAATTTATATAGCAAGAAAAAGTAGCATATAAATTAAATATTATATATATAAATTTCAAAATATTTAGATTGATATTAGTGCTCCACAAAAGCAAAATCAAAGTTTGAGTTTGAAATCAAATATTTGATCAAGTCAAATTTGATCAAATATTTGATCAAATATGACCTTGAACTAGTTCACGATCATTTATCAGATTGATCATAAAATAATTTATGGTCATTTACCTATCAATACTAACTGTTCACCAAGCAAAAATATTTAAAAGCACAGGTGTTTGGAAGAATGCCAGCTGGCCAAAGGTGCTAGAAATAAATTTAATTAAAGGACCTTAAGTCCGCAGAATACACATTGTGAGTAATATTTTTATTTTCAGCACCTTTGGCCAGCTGGCATTCTTCCAAACACATGCACTGGTAAATTTTAAAAAATTCGATGTTTGAATGATGCCATTCAACGCGTCGAATTTTTTAAGATTTACCAGCGATGACTACTCACACCTGTGCTTTTCAAATATTTTTGCTTGGTGAACAGTTAGTAGGGATGGGTAAATGACCATAAACTATTTCATGATCAATCTGATAAATGTCGTGAACTAGTTCACGGTCATATTTGATCAATTTGAATTTAATTTGATCAAATATTTGATCAAATTTGACTTGATTAAATA